AAGTTGGTAGCTAAAGCGACCAACTTCATGCTGTTAAAATTTTGTGTTACAGTGATGCGCGCGCATCTTAAAATTTCACTCTCATCATTTTTTCATAACGCGCCTAAAGAAGTATAACTTCAAAAAAAATGGTAGTAATGACTACATTATTAGGACTTCAATCCGGAAGAATATGAGCCATGTTGTTTATTGGAAGCATCGCAAGTGTTCTCATGCGTAAATGTAGTTACATTAGTAGTAACTGATTGAAGTCCTATTAATGTAGTCATTACTACCATTTTTAAAAAAAATATTAGATATGTTATTCGTTTAAATAAAAATAAACTCATTTTTGGTTGCATTGATATCAATAAATTGACTGCAATCAAACAAAAATTCTAATTTAACTTACAAACTGTATGTACTACTAATAAGTAGTAACCACATAACAAAGAAAGAGGTTAGAAGGGACTTCAGAGACCTTTTGTACGGGAACCGATGTCGCCGGCTCGCCCGCACTACACTTACACCTAATAGATATTAGCCAATCAAACGCCGTGACATCAAACAATCGAACCAATCGGCGCTCACACCCCATCGCAACAAAGCAATCGTTGCCAAGTTTTGGTCAAGCTATGAGCATTTGCTCACAACTAACTGTGGCGCGCCTGCCCCGCCCACAAGGCCCTTCTAACATCTTTCTGTGTTCTGTGGTAGTAACTTGCATTTATGCATGAGAACACTTACGATGCTTCCAATAAACAATATGTCTCATATTCTTCCGGATTGAAGTCCTATTAATGCTAACTACAAATTATTTTGATCAAATTCTTGTGATTTGCTGGTGCGAAATAATATTTTTTTAATGCACAATGGTGTAAAAGTGAGGCGTATACTGTTGGTGGAATTTCAATAATAGGTACGTTTATGACTTCTGTTTACACATTACATGTGTCCCTATGGATAAGATCCACCAAGCGGACCCAGTGCGGATTGGTGGGTGCTAACGACTGCAGTTGCAACCGGGCTTGGTGTGCCTTCCAAAGCACGGAGGAACTCGAGTAAGTATGAATAATTTTGGTCACCCAATTAATAACCGAACACTGCGAAAGTTGCTTAATTTCCACGATCCATGCTATAAGCTAGCTTCACACTATTCCTAAGTAACTTAGACCGATAAACATAATAGACAATTTTAAAGCATCTATGAGATTTCAAAAACATCATTCTGGATATATAAATATTTTAAATTTGATCATGTGGGCGAGGTCAATAGTTGTTTTTAAAAGTCATAGATGTACTAATAAGGTATGTTAAGAAAAAAATGGGTGCGTGTACTTATGTAGGCGCGTGAGAAGTTATCCTTCTTTCGCATCGTTTAAAATTAGTTTTTAATTGCATGCAAATAATTAATTACAATAAATTAATAAAAAGTCTGGAAAAGGACACAGAAGACAAAAGGAAACTAGAAACATGTGGATAAATATTATAAACATGAATACCTATAACTGTTACTTTATTACAAAAAATAAAGATGTGGTTTTTGGTTCTACTACACCAATGGTCAAGAGATGGCGCTGTAGTCTCCTGAATCGCGCTTTGGTTCCGTTGTTCCAGATTAATAAATACTTTTGATATTATAAATATGAATACCTATAACTGTTACTTTATTACGAAAAATAAAGATGTGGTTTTTGGTTCTACTACACCAATGGTCAAGAGATGGCGCTGTAGCCTCCTGAATCGCGCTTTGGTTCCGTTGTTCCAGATTAATAAATAGTTTTGATAGGCCTTCACAATGCAGTCGTTAGCACCCACTAAATAGAGATTCTATTTTGTTGGTAGATTTTCTTAATGTGCGGTAAACACAAAAGTAACAGCATGAAGCTGGTCGCTAAAGCGATTAAATTTTTTTGTTACAGTGATGCGCGCGCATCTTAAAATTTCACTCTCATCATTTTTTCATAACGCGCCTAAAGAAGTATAACTTCAATAAACCCCCTTTTGGGGTGAAAAAGTATGTGCAAATAATTAACTGCATGCGTATGAAGTAGCAGGCGGCCGCTAGTTACATAAATATATGCTCATCAAAAAAATATCATGTTATACGGTTATGAATGTACTTTTAAACGGATTTTATAATTGCAATCTAATATATAAAATTCTCGTGTCGCGGTGTTTGTGGTTAAACTCTTCCGAAACGGCTTTCCCGATTCTCATGAAATTTTGTGTACATATTGGGTAGGTCTGAGAATCGGACAACATCTATTTTTCATCCCCCTAAATGTTAAGGGTAATCCACCCCTAAATTTTTTTTTTTCAATTTTGGATTATTATTTTTTTTTAATTTTTTTATGATACATTAACAAAAATACATACATCCATCAATTTTCAACTTTCTACCACCAACCCCTATTTTTTTATGGCGGCACGAAGTTCACTGGGTCAGCTAGTTTATTTGTACTATACTATACAACTATAAACACTATGGAAAATATATTATATTACTATTTTCGAGGACAAAAAATTAAGAAAAATCTACCTAGGTAATTCGTTAAGTAGAAAACTAAACATCAATTGATAAAACGATGCATCGTGTTTTTTAAAGCTTTTAATTTAAATAATAAATAAATGAAATATTCTTCAGTGGTTATACTTTATTTTTTTTCCTAGGTATCTACAGTATACATAAGAATTACTGAAAAACGTATCGTTTGACAAATTCTAACCGAACCGTTAATCGTGTTCAATGTTAGATAAAAAACAGATGCAATACATATAGCGACATCTATACTTATAATAAATCTGTAGAGATGTCAATTCTGTACATGAACTATATTTTTAAAATAACTATCAGGGGTGATTAGTGATCGATACTGATGCCAAAAATGCAATCAGTAAAATTTTTGTCTGTCTGTGTGTATGTTCCTTATAGAAACAAAAACTACTCGACGGATTTTAACGAAACTTGGTACAATTATTCTTCATACTCCTGGGCAGGTTATAGTATACTTTTCATAACGCTACAATCAATAGCAGCAGAGTAGTGAAGGAAAATGTTGGGAAAACGGGAGAAGTTACTCCATTTTTTAAGCTTCCGTCGCGGGTGCAGCCTTAATGGTTAAAGTTACATAGAAATCATGTATGACGGAAATATTCTACATAAAATTGTCTAAAAAATATCCCGCAATAGCATATGTCTATCTTTTATGGTTGACTCACAATAACACGTGTAATTATATAAATAAAGTCATTCTTTATAGCACAAGCCTGAGAACAAAAACTATAGTTTACACTACAGCTCTACACCGAAGCGAAGCGAGGGCGGGCCACTAGTATTTAATAAGCTCGGAAGATCTTTTAGAGATTTTAATATTTTTTTTGACTTTCAAGCTAATGATATAGAATTGAAAATTAGAAGGTTCCTTCACTCAAAGAAAATTAACTCATCAATGAAGTAACTGTTTGGGCACACTACTAGAACGAGACACAGTCCACCAATTCAGCTATGCTCTTCGGAACGATTTTGAGGGTCGCGTAAGCATTCCAGTTAGTATATAAGTTCCTTGTTCAGGACTTAGGAGCATTTTCAATAATTTTAGCAAACCCTTTTTTTAATTTTTTTTTTCGAATGCAACAAAGGGTTTAGTTAGTGCATTATTGCACCAATGATTCGTCGCTCCTATCGAGCAGTATTACTAAAATTTGATAGTTTACAACGAAGCTGGTATGTTCTTGTAAGAATTAAAGCTCCCAAGTGAATCAAGATAAAACAATATTACCCGTGTCGTTTATTCTCTGTTGTGGAAGAATTTGGTGTTCTCTGTTTCTCTTTTTCCCTGTCCTGCCTTTTGTCCATTGAATTGAAATAGAGAAATATTTAGGTTACTGTGGGATTCTTACAGACCAAACAATAATTTTTATAAGCCTATTTGTAAAAAATAAATGACTTTTTATGACAACTAGAATCTGTGCGGAAAGAGAATGGGATTTAGATTGGAGAGCGCTGTAGTGCTTTTCTACCGTATTTGTAAGGTTTTACCCCTTTTAGACATGATTAAATACAAAAAACCGCAAGAAATCACAACAACAAACAAATCCGTATCAATACAAAATTTTGACGTTTTACAGATTACTGGGTTTGATTGCCAAATAAAAATCTTTATGTTATGATTTTATTTATTTTTTAAGCATTTAACTGCTAGATGTTTAAATCTAAAGAAAAGTTTACTAGAATAAAATCCACGCGGGCCAGGCAGCGGACGGGACTCGAACCCGCATCCTTCGCTATCCGGGCGAATGCACTGATCATTATGCTAACACGGCCCTATTAGCCGCGTCGAAATTTTCCTAGCCTTAAGCTGCAAGGCAGCGCCATCTCTTCGCATTGTAGGTAACCCACAATGTCAAATGAATATGATGACCTCAATGGCCGAGTGGTTTGTACGCCGGGTTTCATGGTGTCGCCGACTCGAGAGGTCCCGGGTTCGAATCCCGGTGGGGGCAGATGTTTGTGTGATGAATACGAGCATTTGTACTCCAGTCATGGATTTTTAATATGTATTTCTATATAAATATACTTATATATGTACAGTATATGTATTCTATCCGTTACCCTAGCATCCCGTAACACAAACCTTACAGTGCTTACTTTGGGGCTAGGCTAATTGGTGTGAGTGTTGGAAATATTTATTATTATTTATTAATACTTTTTCAAGTATTAAACATTTGAAAGAAGAACTAGCAATTATAGTTATGATTTTATTTATTTTTTAAGTATTTAACTGCTAGATGTTTAAATCTAAAGAAAAGTTTACTAGAAAAAACATCTTTTTTTTATTCTAGTAAACTTTTCTTTAGATCTTTATGTTAATTCAGTTTTTCGCCACGCCCATTCTCTTCTCCGCATAGACTCTAATAGATTTTTTGACTCGCAATTTGAATTCCCGTATTTATAGTTTTAAATATGGGGATCTTTAAAACTTCAAATACAAATTTTAATTCCTTTTTTTTACTTTCAGATCGAGTTAAAGAGAAAAAGTCATCTCCCTCTACTGAATCTCCAACAACCAATTATGGTAAAAAATCTTCCTTATATCATCTTAAGGTTTTTTTATTTTATTTTTAGCAGTTCCTTAAATGTATTGTCTTACACTTTCATGGTCACTAACATTATAGTAATATAAGTTATTTACGGGATTGTTACAATGTACCTTGTTTTTAGCGAGTTTCCGATATTTCGGCGCTGTTGCAAGCGCCATGATCACGGAGTTACTAGTAATAATGGCGCTTGCGCTGCGCTTATAAGTTCACTAGTAACTCCGTGATCATGGCGCTTGCAACAGTGCCGAAATATCGGAAACTCGCTAAAAACAAGGTACATGGTAACAATCCCGTAAATAACTTATAAGTTCCTGAAATTTTAATGCATCATAAATATTCCAAATTTTACAGACAAAGCCTACGAAGACGCAGACGAACAAAGAGAGGAAGAAAGTGGTAAGTGATGTTTATGATTGATTTTTCGGATGAAGTGGAAATTTTCCATCCTTCTTTTGCATTTTTTAAGAATGAATTATATTAAAAGTATGCATGAAACTTTTAACTATCTTTTTTTTAAATTTAGGTCGAGATAGCTAAATTCTCTGCCGCGCCCGCCGTGGCTGCGGGACCGCAGACTGAAAACTGCGGTCCCGTGAGTTTTGAAATAAAATAGTTCTGCGCTAGCAGCCGCAGTGTGGCAAGGTTAAGCATAATAGGGTATTTGACAAGTTTTAGAAAACGATCTCACGATATTGACTACTAATGTTTATGGAGTAAAGTGGATATTCATCATTCTGTTGTGTATTTCAGTAAAAATAACCAAATAAAAAACTCCATTTTCAAGTTGCCACGAAAACGTTTCTCTGGACAATATGGCGTCTTACTAGTGTGTGACGTCACACGACTGTTATTAAAACGTCAAGCGATACAATGTATAATGCGATTCAAATAAGAATAGGAAAGCCAATGACCTCCATCTGTCAAATGACGCTTGAAAAGTACGGTTTGCAAAAAATCTTGGAATTCTTTTTTAGCACTCAGCTAATTCTAGAATAAAAAAACCAAACATTTGTAAACAAACATGACGACGATGACAACTCCGGTAGTTATGCAGAGCTGAGCGCAATTGAAGAGCTAGATTCCGATTAATAATTTTACTCTCACAGTCATAAATGTTATTAAAAATCGGTGGTTTTTTTTCTCAATCTTAGTAAATAAATTTTATTAATAAATTCTGATGTTTTTTCTCACTTAATCTTAGTAAATAAGTTTTATCGAAGAAAATCTTTTATTGCTCACTGTACCTATTTTGTTTCAATTGACAGCTTTGATATCACAAAATGGCGCCCAGTCGATCCTATTCTTAGTTGAATCGCATTATAATGTCACTTTAACTGGAAGTTTACTTGCGTGTGACGTCATTTTAGGCTCCGCCAATCTCAAGTGGGATTTTAGTAAAATTATGAATATTATAATACACACTCTTCGTTGTATTAAACATTTTATTTTATAAAAACTCGTGTTACAAATAGTAAAATGGAAAAAATTGTTGGACGCAATCTCATGTGAGGAACGCAAATGCCGCTCTTTGGTAAGACCACAGATTTGCGCGTTATAATATTTTTTTGTATAAATAGTAAAATCCCTTGCCAATATTCATTCTAAACACAGATGCTAACAATTGGCACTTTATTTTTAATATTGTCAAATACCCTATTCTGCGATTTTAGCAGAATTTGACCACCAGTTTAGGGTTTAGCCTAGTATGTCGCAGATTAGAAAATGTTTGCAGTTCCTAAAAGAATCTAATGATACCTTAGCAGAAATTTTTCTAAGAATTCAAATCGTCCGATTTTTCTGATTGTACTTGCAACTCTCTAGTATATTTACATAATTAGTTTAGGGTAACTTCCTGATCATGTTTTTATATCTCGAACCGTATGTAGAGTGCATTTTCTTCGTATTCGTTCGTTAATTTAGTGAGCTGTATTACCAGTACTTACAAGTGTAGTAAAAATTAAAATAACATATGACCAGAATTTATGTTCTGGAGTGCGAGGAGGATCCAATGTTTCCGACCTTGGCTTTCGAGAGCCAAACATGACGGCAATGCAATTTTTTTAACCGACTTCAAAAGGAATAGAAGTTTCTCAAGACGACAGCATATTATTTATTTTTGTTGTTCGCGCAAATCTCCTTTTTTGTTTGATTCAGTTTTTAGATGAAATGGGCCCATATTCATTTGATGAAGATCTAAAGAGTGCTCATCGAGATAATGGAACTCCTCAATTACAAACAGTACTCAATTAGTGTTTGGTTATTTTGAAAGTTTATTTTCATACAAAATGTAGGTTAAAGTTTTAGCAGACTTTAAGCATTTAGAAAAAAATGTATAGCAGATTCCAACGAAGCTGCTACCATAATGACTAATTTGGGGAAATCACCACTCCGTGAGTTCTTAGAGATGTTCTTCTTCAAAGACCTTGAAAAGTTTTCGTTACTTATTTTATTTAGAAAGGATCAAATGAAATCTTTTTATTTTAAATTGAACCATGTGAATCTTAACCCTTACTAATATTATAAGTGCGAACACTGAGCGGATTTGGATGAAACTTGGTACGCATATATAATGCGATTCAAATAAGAATAGGAAAGCCAATGACCTCCAACTGTCAAATGTCGCTTGAAAAGTACGGTTTGCAAAAAAATCTTGGAACCCTTTTTAGCACTCTGCTAATTCTAGAATAAAAACCACACATTTGTATACAAACAATAACAAATATTGATAATTAATATTGGTTGATATTTTTTTTCATTTATTGAGCTTTGGCTATGAATGGTTGATAATCTAAACCGTCACCCAAATGACACTTTAAGTTGCGTTCAGAAATTCAATTTAAACTTTCGTTTACCTAAAGGATGCATGTTCGTATGTGACCTAGTAATAGTGCATGATTATTCATAACTACTCCGGCGGTAATGCAGAGATGAGCGGAATTGAAGAGCTAGATTCTGATTTATGTTTTTTCTCACACAGTCTTAATAAATAAATATTATTGTTAATTTTTTGTTTTTTTTCTCAATCTTAGTAAATAAATGTTATTAAAAAAATCTGATGCTTTTTCTCACTTAACCTTAGAAGTTTTATTAAATAAAATCTTTTTAAAGAAAATATAACTAGAAAAAATTCCACGCGGACCAGGCAGCAGACGGGACTCGAACCCGCACCCTTCGCAATCCGGGCGAATGCACTGACCAATTATGCTACCGCGGCCCTCACGGACCGCGTCGAAATTCCTTCTAGCTATTCTTAAGCTGCAAGGCAGCGCCATCTCTTCGCATTATAGGTAAACCCCAGAGTCCGACCTGCTGCCTGGTCCGCGTGGAATTTTTTTTCTAGTTATATTTTCTTTAGATTTAAACATCAAGCAGTTACATGCTTTAAAAATAATAAAAATTATAAAATCTTTTTTTTTGCTCACTCTACCTATTTGGTTTGAATTGACAGCTATGACGTCAAAATATGGCGCCCAGTTGGTCCTATTCTTAGTTGAATCGCATTATAGTTACTTTTTATACCGGAAAAGTGTTGGTTCTTGAAGAATTTTAAAAAACAAATGTTAACGTGACCGATATCGCGGGCAGGAGCTTTTATATAAAGAAATGGTTTTTCTTTAAATGTGTCTGTATTCTTGTTCCCACAGACATTAAAATATTGTATAATACACAATTGTTGAAATATAAATCCAAGACATTACAAGAAGGCACTACAGCTACTTTCAAATGCGTATATGAGGGACATCGAGATAACATAACATTAAAATGGTCTCATATGAGTGGTAAGCACTATCATTATCATCATCATCAGCCTATTAATGTCCCCACTGCTGGGGCACAGGCCTTCCCTATGGATGTAATAGGGAAATTGGGCCATGACTCACCACGCGGGCCCAGTGCGGATTGGCGGGCGCTAACGACTGCAGCTGCAGCCAGGATCAACGGCTTAACGTGCCTCCCGAAGCACGGAGGAGCTCGAGATAGTTAATTTTTGGTCACCCATCCAATGACCGACCACTGCGAAAGTTGCTTAAGAACGATCGCAGCCGAACGCGCTAACCACTTGCGCCATCGAGCTCCTCCTATTAAGCAGTATAGTTGTTTTGAAATTTAGGTTACACGGACAGACGGACACGTCAAACTTACAAACCCCTCTTTTTCCGTCGGGGGCTTAAAAAGGGAAATTACATTAATATAAGATTAAAGTGGTGTTGATTCTGGCATGATTTTTAAACCTAAACTTAAATTTGAACAACAAAGATGTACACTCTTTGTCATTCGCTATACAGAATGAAAAGGACGGACTGATGTAAAGGAGAATGCTCAGCTTCCATACATGTTTGGCCTAAAGACCAATAATCATGACAAATTGTTTCCTAGATTCGAAATTATATATAAATTACTGTAGAAACGAATATTATTGACGGACACCCCTGAGAACTTCTACAAACCATATACACTGAATGATTTTGAGGTTATGTTTGCAAATAGGTACATAGGTATTAAAATAATAAAAAACAAATAAGCTATATAGCAAACTAGGGAAATCAAACCAAGTACCGAAATTATGTATTAGATTCAGGTATACAGAGCATGCAGATAAACAGATAGTTGCCTAACTTTTAAAATCAGGTATCATCTATGCATTTCCGGTTATAATAAGGTACTCTGTGACAGAAACTGTGTGTTATTTGTTTTGATGGTATATAAACAACTTCGATCAGTCTTTGGCTGAATGTTACTACACCCATAGCCATTAAAAATGATTCGTATTTGTTTCAAACCGGTAAAATTAAAAGTCCTTTTTAAAATGAATATATTATACAAAGGTGTCCGTTTAAATCTAATGACTGTAAAATAAAGTATAAATTACGCCAAGAATTACCGAATATGTCAATATTTTTTGTACATTTGGGCCAATTTTAGCAGTCTCCTTTAGTTTTTAAGTTTAGAGAATCACACCAGAAGCGACACCATTCATCATCATCATCAGCCTATTAATGTCCCCACTGCTGGGGCACAGGCCTTCCCTATGGATGGATTAGGGAGATTGGGCCATGACCCACCACGCGGGCCCAGTGCGGGTTGGTGGGTGCTAACGACTAACGACAACGGCTTAACGTGCCTTCCGAAGCACGGAGGAGCTCGAGATAGTAAATTTATGGTCACCCATCCAATGACCGACCACTGCGAAAGTTGCTCAACTTCAACAACCGCAGCCGAACGCGCTTACCACTGGCGCCATCGAGCTCCAAACATATCCTATATGATATATTGTTTTAAACTCACTAACATTATAGATATTAACGGGATTGTTACCATGTACCTTGTTTTTCATGAGTCTCCGATATTTCGGCACTGTTGCAAGCGCCATGAATGACACAGGCGCGGTCGCAGCCTGGGCTCATTAACTACACCAATAAAAAGTAGAAAAAAAGGTATCTGGAATAAATTAAACATTATTGCGACGAACGACGCATGTGTCGATTTTGCGAGAATTACCAAAACTACGTAGTTCGGTTCCTTGTTTCTAAAAACTAGTACTAGATGTCATTTCTTAGTTATTTTGGCCATCGTACGTAGTTCACAAAAACACCACTAGATGTCAGCAAACTATAAATTTATCGCTGTTAAGTGGGATAGCTAGAAATTTCCGTTTATTAATTGGTAAATTTTTGGATTTTTCAATTTGACCTTAGATTTGGGGGGGGGGGGGGGGGGCATGTCTCCTGTGACCCCCCCTCCTTCCTTCGGACCGCGCCTGCCATGATCACGGAGTAACTGATATTTACTCCGTGATCATGGCGCTTGCAACAGTACCGAAATATCGTAGACTCATAAAAAACAAGGTACATGATAACAATCCCGTTAACATTAATATTCGGATGATTCAGAAATGAAGGTTCACCTCCATTTACTTAACACCTTAAGGCTGCTTTTCCAACAGAGATGTGCTTAGTTAGTTCTTCAGGGCGGTTTCCTCACTTAGTCCTAATTATTGGACCATTATGCGTGTCTCAAAAACATTCCCGTTTACTCCAGCCAGCCTATATCGGTCTAGAAGGAAAGCAGCCTTGGTAGACTGCTGCAAGCTTCCGGAAACGATTCTGGCGACTGGAGAAGTCGTGCCCGTTGGTCGGCCACACTCCTGCATTCCATGCTATACAGAGATGTGCTATGCTACGTTGCGTTGCTGTGGATGCGTTTGATATCCACCAGCAAATTCATTGATCCACATATCATAGCAATGGTGGAAACGGGGGGTTGGATTTAGAAATAAGTCGCCTGAATTTGAGGCTACTGGATGTGTAAGGGGTTAAAGTAACATCGTTTTTGACCCCTAAAGTAACTTAGGTTGCCGGAGTTGCGTATAAATATTCTAAAACTATTTTCAAGAATTCGTAAAATAAAATTGTAAATGAGTCGAACGGAACGTAATTTTTAAACTATTAGTTTTGAATAATTGTTGTCTTTAAAGCAAAATATTAAACAAACGCGTGAAACGAAACGCAAACCGCCGCGCCGTTTTGAATATAGATTTTGACAGATACGTTGTGCGTCATTCATTCCGTTGCTTTCGAGTTTTCGCGAATGTGCTCCCGTGATGAAATTTGTTATATGAGGGGAGATTTAATGAAAGAAGTGGCTACCCACTGAGAACCTCGTAACTCTTACGGGCGCTTACGGCATAATATACGCTAAACAAACCTGCGAATACCCTAAGGGGCTGTCCATTAATCACGTGATGCTCGAAAGGGGGGGGGGGGGTCCATAAAAATCACGAATTATCACAAGGGGGAGGGGGGCTACAGCTCCCTAATATATCACGTGTATTTCCGTGGTCCGAGGATACTGTACATTAAATATGTTGAAGTATAAGTTTTCCGCATTTATTTCATTATTTTTATGTCAGTCAAAAACAACCTGCAACCCTGATACGCTATACCTGTATTTTATAAATATTTTCTACAACATAATAATATACTAAAAAATACACGTGATATTTTAGTCTTAAACCTCACTATATATCACCAAGGGGGAGGGGGGGTCAAAAAACGCCAATAAAAACCTCACGTGATTAATGGAGGGCCCCTAAGCTGCTTAGCGCGTAGCCGCGGGATCCCCGTTTAGGAATTCTTCCGCGTCTCCGCAACTAGCAGCCTCCCGGCCGATGCTCCACGGCAGGGGTCTCCCGGGGTATCACGGGGACCCCGCAGACGTGCGCAGGATGGCCCGCGCGTGGGGGCTGAATACGCGGCCTAGTGCCCACCCCCCGGGCAGGGTAATGGGACGGGCGCAGTCAGGGCGCGCCGCTGTCCTCTCCTACCCGTCCTCCTTAGCTGACACATCCTCGCAGCATCGCTGCATAGCACATCTCTGGTGGAAAAGCAGCCTTACCAAGACGCATGCACTCATCATCATCATCATCATCATCAGCCTTTTAATGTCCCCACTACTGGGGCACAGGCCTTCCCTATGGATGGAATAGGGAGATTGGGCCATGACCCACCACGCGGGCCCAGTGCGGATTGGTGGGTGCTAACGACTGCAGATGCAGCCGGGACCAACGGCTTAACGTGCCTTCCGAAGCACGGAGGAGCTCGAGATAGTAAATTTTTGGTCACCCATCCAATGACCGACCACTGCGAAAGTTGCTTAACTTCAACGATCGCAGCTGATCGCGCTTACCACTTGCGCCATCGAGCTCCTCTACGCATGCACTATTTTTTGAAAAGTATTTCTTTTAAATTTGTTGTACTTACTCTAAAATTGCAGTTAATCGCTCAGTTATAACAAATATTTGGCAAGAAGGACATTCCCTAAGTATAAAAATACAAGTGGATTCGTTTGACAACAATACAACGTTACATTGCCACTACTATCAAAAACAGAAGGATAATTTTATTCACCTCGGAGATAATCAGGTAGACATTATGGTGCTGCAAAACAATAATGTGCAACAACACGGTGAGTTGTTAACAATACATCTTATGCCGGCACTTCACTTGGCTATTCAATTCAATTCAATTCTTTATTGCATATCCACGTGTATGTACAAAAAGATGTTAAATATGACAAAATACGATCATTATGGACCCTGTCGGGCACGCAACTAAATGAGAGATAGATAGAAGAGAGGAGTTATATTCAAATTTTGACGTGACAACGTCTTAAATTAGGTTGCGGCTGGGAGTCACTTATGAAAAAGTGTAACGCTCGGTAACGTTACGATGAGTCTCTCGTGTTAAGTTTAAGTTTACATGTACAATGTTTTAGTAAACAAAATATATTTCTATAGTTAAAATTTGTGCAATTCTTATTTTCATTCAATTCCTTGTTCCTATTGTGCAATTTAATTATATTCATATCAATAAATATTCTACCGAGAAAAAGACGTTGTCACGTAAAATCTTCGCCCGTAAAACCGACTTTACAGGCAACCATTTTTTATGTTAGTTTATAGACTGAAAGAGTCTTCTTATGTTTGTTTATGTACTGACTGTCACTATAGTTAACTCATATATTATTTAAGTGAAGAAAATTCATTTCATCTATATAAACAAACAATCAATTATTAGGTGGGCCACTAGCAAAAAATAGAATAAAAATAATATTTGTTAAATTTCAATGTCAAGTTCAATAATAATGTATGTATGTTTGTGTGTATAATTGTCTATGTCATTTATTCGTATTTGCTATTTCGTAAACTTAACAACAGTTGAACTTCAACATCTTCTATCTTCTTTAAATATATAAAAATCCATTGCTGTTCGTTAGTCTCGCTAAAACTCGAGAACGACGGATTTTTCTTATCTTGGTCTTGAAATATTCGTGGAGGTCTAGGGAAGGTTTAAATGTGAGAAAATATGGAAAAATTGCGGGGAAGATAGTAAAAGCGCCAATTTAATTTTCCCTTAAAAACTGTTCTATCATCTTTCCTGTCAAACATTTGACGTTCGTCCCTTTCGGTACGGTAGATTCGGGTCCGTCATATCTTCCAAATTATTTTAACCCGTACGAAGTCAACGCCAACTAGTATTTTAAATCTAAAGAAAATATGACTTGAAAAAAATCCACGCGGACCAGGCAGCAGATGAATTTCGACGCGGCCGTCAGGGCCGCGGTAGCATAATTAGTCAGTGCATTCGCCCGAATAACGAAGGGTACGGGTTCGAGTTCCGTCTGCTGCCTGGTCCGCGTGGATTTTTTTCTAGTCATATTTTCTTTAGATTTAAACATCAAGCAGTTACATGCTTAAAAATATAAAAATAATAGTATTTTACAAAAGAAAAGGACAGTTTCCAAAAAGCAAACACGTATAGTCAAGTGCCGGCATTGTGAAGAGGAAAGGTTTTACAAACTTTCACTCCCATTTCACCTCTTAAAGGCGAACGCACACTTGGCCGCACCGCAGTCTCCGCAGTCCCCGCAGTCATCGCTTTGTGTCAATGGCCTCGCACATCTATCCGCACCGCAGTCACTGCAGTCGTTCCCCGCCGCACGCATCGCACTTGATTTCTTTCATTCAGTTGATGCGAATGACGTCATCCACGCCGCGCTAGCCGCAGCGTCCGCTGCGTGCGGGCCAGCGTTGGTGACGTCATCAGCTGCGGCTTGGGGAGTTCGGTCGTTTCAGGGACTGCGGCGACTGCGACGCGGGTGGGTGTGCGAGGTTGCATAGAACTTCATATAAAGTATTCGAATGCGAAGACTGCGGCGCGTGCGGTGCGGCCAAGTCTGCGTTCACCTTTAAGGTGATTTCTGGGAATGGGAATGTTAAAAACTATCTAACTATGGGTCTAGCCATCTACTTTGACTTATTTCATGGCCGGAAAATGAAAAGTTTTCCTGCCGCCTTTCCTTCTATTATTCGAATTCTCTTGTACATTCAGGCTTCATTTATGTCTTAAATCAACCCTGAATAGTTTCTCTACAAACTTATCTACATATTAGATGAGTAAATTAAAAACCATTACTAAATATGATAAAACGAAAAATAGGAAAAATGAAAATAATTTTCTCAAGTCCTGGCAGAAAGTTATCCACTTACACAGTCGAGGGGATATAATTAGGGTTGCAACCCTTTTTTTGTCGAAATAAAGTACATTTGGATATTAAAGGTAGAAAAAAGTACACTGTGTCCAAAATATAGTACTTTTTATTCCACTTTATTAGTAATCTTAAAAATATATTTTACGTTGCTACTTAAATAACTAGCAACTTCTACTAAATAATTTGTGCCTACTAAAAATCTGTAGTTCTTTTCAGCAATGGGAAAGGTCATGGTACAAAGCCATACAGCCACGAAAATGTTGCAATGTAGAATTAGCTGAGGGCGTCATATACTGTTTATCTGTTTTACGCAAAAAATATTCATATCAACCTCTTTTTGTATATTTTATGTAAAATGAATCCCCGAGTAATGAAATCACATTAAGTAAAGTATTTTCTTTTACTTTATTGTAAGCATAAAGTATAGAGTATAATTATCAGAAATAACGTGCAATACTTTATAATAAAGTCCTTTCCCTCGACACAAAATATACATGAAAAATGGGAAATTAAAACGAACATTGCTCAGCTATTTGTTTATTGTCATGTTTATGTCGTAGGATGATTTGAATAAACGAAGTTTTAACGGAAATCCAAGGACTTTTGCAAAAACGCGATTAACTAGTTTATCTACAACTAGTGACCCGCCCTCGCTTTGCTTCGGTGTAGAGCTGTAGTGTAAACTACAGATTTTGTTCAAAGGTTCATATTATACGCAATGACCTTCTTCATAATAATTATAAACCTTCCATTCCAAGTAAAAAAATCGTTGCGTAGTTTAGGACCCGTTGTACCGAATGCAACATTGCTCTGCTGTTCCGATTTGAAAAAATCTTTTTGTACCGGACAGTTCATTTATCGAGGAAGGCTATAGGCTATATATTACCAGGCTATTGACCAGTAGCAGGGGACCTATAGTTGTGACATAACTGTAATAGTGAGACATATGGTATCGCGGACTTTTTTGTAGATATTGGTATCCTCTATAAAACTTTAGTACATCACTTTGCTCTATTGTCAATGAGATCCGCAGCGTACGCGATATTAGGCTATTTTTTGGTATTTTTTACATTATCGAAGTTTTCATGCGGAACCCTAACTTTTTTTTAAATACACCATAGCCTATATTAATCAGTGATAATGTAGCATTCAAATGGTAAAAGAATTTTTAAAATCGGTCCAGTACTTTTTGAGCCAATTCCTTACACACATACTAACATACAAACCTTTCCTCTTTATAATATTAGTATAGATATAAAAATGAATCGCTGAATGTGTTGCTAAGCGCAAATCTCGAGAACAGCTGAACCGATTTCGATAATTCTTTTTTTAGAATATTCCTTGAAAGGACGAGGATGGTTCTTAGGCAGAAAAAAATATAAAAAATTGTCTGAAAATGTTCAAAAACAACATTTTTCTATACTCCCATACAAACGATACGTAACAATAAATATAAGTCAATTTGAACTTTAATAACATACCATAAATTTCAAATGTTAAACCAAAAACAAACAAACAATCTCTCCAGCTTTATAATATTAGTAAGTATGTCTAATATTCATCATCATCATCAACCTATTAATGTCCCCACTACTGGGGCACAGGCCTTCCCTATGGATGGAATAGGGAGATTGGGCCATGACCCACCACGCGGGCCCAGTGCGGTTAGGCGGGTGCTTATGACTGCAGATGCAGCTGGGACCAAGGGCTTAACGTGCCTTCCGAAGCACGGAGGAGTTCGAGATAGTAAATTTTTGGTCACCCATCCAATGAACGACCACTGCGAAAGTTACTTAACTTCAACGATCGCAGCCGAACGCGCTAACCACTTGCGCCATCGGGCGCCTCCTAATGTAATATACTGCTACTGTCTCATATTCACTGAAAGTTTATAATTATATGAAGAGTCATTTTAGTCTACACTACAGCTCTACACCGATGCGAAGCGAGGTCGGGCCACTAGTTATTAATAATAATAATTATCATTTATTTCGGATAACAATGGATGCGTGTCTATGACATTTTTCAATTATTATAAATATTTTTGGGTTTATGAGTTTTCGGTTCACACTAGGCTATGGTTTATTGTGGACTTTTTGCCTTAAGTCAAATAATATTTAATAAGTTCTCATTAGTATAAATCAAAATATATATTATCTTTAAAAATCAACAACGAGACCCCCTCGCGAAGCGAGCGTCTGCTACCCCCGTAGAATATTACTGTAACTAAGCGGGTGATGTTTGCATTTTGAGACTCCAATGTCCGGACTTTTATCGAAATGTCCGGCTTTTTGTCAGGACTTTTGAAAGGACAATGGGCAAAACGCACCCAGCTCCGCCAACAATGTAATTAGTATGAATCGATAGATCTATGAAAAACTAGGCTTTTTTATTATGACACCGTAAAAAAATATCCTGGGAGTCAAAAGATATGACACCGTAAAAAATATCCTGGTAGTCAAACGATATGACACATGGGCATATTTCAGTAGCTAAATAAATGAATTTTATAGTACCTTTATTTTATATTATTAGTAACCATAATAATGTGCCATATGGGACTATACAACCAGATAAACGACAAAGCCTGCCGACCATCCTGCGCTTGCACTTACTGAGCCACCTCAAAACGGTTTACAGGGGTTGAAGGATTTGCAGTTGCAAATAGTCGACTAGACTTACTTCGTTGTGATTGTGCGCCATTGATTGATTTTTATCTAACACGCTTTGGACATTGGAACACAATTATCGGTTTGTAAAACCCTTGAACCTTGTGAAGTACTCCCATAATACCTGAGCCCCCTATGTAGTGTCGAACTAACTAAATTAATTCCCTTGTTTCATTAATGTTCGTTCGTCATAGTACTTGTACCTGTTTAACTTAAAAATAACTAAAGACTCCCGGGATGGAATTTGATGCGCTTTGGCACAAATGATCATGACTATATTACCTTTCAAACAAATGTAGTTTAAGCCGTGGCGGACGTGGGTGCAGCGTCCATAAATTTTTGCCCAATGTCCTTTTTAAATAGTAACCCTAGACATGCGTAGTGTCTCCTTAGTATTTTATGGTTGTAAAACTAAGACGCCCGAGCCGAGCGAGCGTAGCGAACGTGCCACGACAGCGGCCGGCGTAACACCAGAAAAAAAAAATAGTTAGGAAAAATTTTTCCGCGTTTTCGCATAATTCCTAGGATTCTCGCGAAAATTCGATTCATCAAATCTTCCTACGACATGTATGTGTCATGTTGTGCTTTTGATTTCAGGATACAAATACGAAAGGAGTATAACAGAAGATATAGATTTAACTGCTGCCCTCAATAAAACTATCCCAATGGACTGTAAAAGCAATACATTAAATGTACAGAAATGGTTAGAGATTCGAAGTAAGTTAACATCAAAATAAACTAATATTATATATTAAGGTGTTACCTACTAGGCACTGTACCGAGTCCAGAAGGGAATCCTGGGAAACGCAGCTCAAAAGAAGACACTTATTACGTATTGTATTATATTTCAGAGAATAGGGTATTTGACAAGTTTTAGAAATCGATGTCACGTTATTGACTAATGTTTATGGAGTCCGTAAAAAGTGGATATTCATCATTCTGTTGTGTATTTCAGTAAAAATAACCAAATTTCCTCTCCATTTTCAAGTTGCCGCGAAAACGTTTCTGGACAATATGGCGTCTTACTGGTGTGTGACGTCACACGACTGTTATTAAAACGTCAAACGATACAATGTAATGGCACTTTAACCGGAAGTTTACTTGCGTGTGACGTCATTTTAGGCTCCGCCAATCCCAAGCGATTTGGGTCACGTGACAATAGATATGAAAACTATTATGTTTTCGTGGGTTTTTAGGAAATAGTTAAAATCCCTGCCAATATTCATTCTAAACACAGATGTTTACAATTGGCACTTTATTTTTAATACTCTCAAATACCCTAGGTCGCGGCACCGCAGTGGCGGACTAAGCCCGTCAGAGGCCCGGGGCGGCAAAGCTAAATGAGGCACCCAGCTTTAAAAAAATGTAGATTATTATGTTTATTTATAACCAGTCTTGTCAAATTCACAGTAACTTTGTATCAGATTGTCAACTGCTACAGCCAGAGCGTCATCTGAAGTTTCTAGCATAAACTTTGTTTCAATAATTTGGAAAATATTTTTGATTTGTTTAATAGCCCAATTCGAATTGAATTGATAATCCAGCATCATGAGCTGATTCACCCGGTATCGTTCTTTATACCTTCATTTTTCCTGGTTTCTTGATGTTGATGAACCACCTAAATACTTATTCAAGGCGTTTAGTTTGGTGATTCCTGTATCCAGAGTCATTTTTGGAGACCGCAAATATTGTTAGACTTAAAAAGAATGAAGTGAATGTAAATCTATGCGTACAAGAGTAAATTATTTGCACTTCATTCATTCTGGGATTCCTGGGGAAGTACCCGCTACAAAGACGGGAATTCCCCCAGAGTATTGGACGCGTTCAGCAAAGTTAAAAAAATATTGGTACTGCGTAAAAAGTCTAGATTACTGTAGTTTTGATGAAATTATATAGGTACTAAGCACATTTTTAAAGTCTTGTTTAGGATTTGATCAGGGTAACGCGGAGGCATTTGGGGGCCCCCCAAGATCGGAGGCCCGGGGCGGGCCTCCCCTTTCGCCCCCCTGTTAGTCCGCCACTGACGGACTGGCCTGACCTACCTGAATTTTGATTGCTGTATGACACAGCAATCAAAATTCAGGTAAACAATTAATGTATATTTAATAATTATGTAATGAAAAGTGACTTCATGAATCACCTCTGAAGTCATTTTTCAATTTGACGACTCTGTAAATAATAAAACAGGGAGAAAAAAACAGCCCTTGCTGAGTTTCTTGCCGGTTCTTCTCAGTGCAAGGTCTCCCGCCGTAGATTTACGAACCGATGGCGTAGCTTCTAGACATTCATATGTGCTTGTAACAGCCTAAACTGAATAAATGATTTTGATTATGATTATGATTATGACTGGTGTCCGTGATGCTAGCGTACCCACGATCAATATACGGGTTTTCGTTATGCCATTAAATAGTGCGTAAATAGTGCCAAATTAGTGTAAAAATAATAAAAATAGTGCCTCTTTAATTTAAGAAATAAATATCATTTTTACTGTGTACGCTACCATGACGTCAAGCTAGCGTACCCATGGCCGACCCCAAGAACGGCATATATTTAAGCAACGAAATTGACACACAAAAATAGTTCGCAAATAGTGCCCTGGCTTTACAAAATTTCATAATCAATACTCTTAAAGGACCAAAGATATTGAACTAAACATTCTTAGCTGGCGTCAACCTGGCGTACCCATAATAGTTCTCATAGAAAATGAACTTTTCTCGTTATCAATTCTATATGTATAAATAGTGTGTCAAATAGTGCCTCTAACAGTAAAAGTATTTTATGTGAATCCGCATCACAACAATACATAAAGAGGTTGTTAAATTCTAGGAACAAATGTATTGTAGTACAGTTACACACAAAATTAATTTATGCACTAAGAGATTATCTATATATGTATTTTTACTAAAATAAATAGGTACTTTTTATAAAAAGATATTATATTTCAATTCGAATTCACCAATCATAAATTCATATAAGAATTTCAACCTACCTACCTACCTACCTACTAAGTACCTTACTTACCTACTATACTATACGAAAATATTATCACTTCTGTACATGACTGTACTTCATATATAAAAATAATTTAATTGCTTTTTTTATATTGTTTTACTGCGAATTAACATAAAATACTTTTACTGTTAGAGGCACTATTTGACACACTAACTATACATATAGAATTGATAACAAGAAAAGTTAATTTTCTATGAGAACTATTATGGGTACGCCAGGTTGACGCCAGCTAAGAATATTTGTTTCTTAGGTTTTCACGCACATCACTCATTAAATAAAACTAGTTTAAACGGGATAATGCACGAAACTTTATTTATTTATTGACGTTTCGTAGCCTTTCCAGGCTTCGTCGTCAGAATAAAACTTTTGTTTAATTTGTCGAGCTACCTTCGAAAGACTTTTATTGAGCGTTTGGTTATTTCATCGTTCGATTTTTAAGTTTTATTGTCTATGTATGAATTTATTATTTAATTTACTTAATAAAGTATTTTATTTAAAATTCTTGTTTGTAATTTTGCGTTTATTTATTTGACCCTAACTACCGTAAACTACCACCGGTTCCAAAATTGGGAGACCTTCCTGAGAAGAACCGGCGAAACAAACTCAAGAAAGGCTTTCTATCTCCTTCTTATGTTAAATTATGCAAACAAAAAGAACTAATAGTATCTGATGGTCTAGCAGTATGTGCTCGGGGTTGGGATTTTATCTCCTGTATAATAGGTTCCCAAGCTGGTGGTATATACCAACCATCTTCCCTATTGAAATTTGGATATTTTTTAATCTCAATAGCCTCGCGCATCATTCGAGGAACGAAACGCCGCTCAGCTGCAAGGATCTGTGGTCTATCAAATCTAATGTAGTGGTTTGGTCCCCCTAATGCATGTTCACACACTGCAGATTTATTTTCGCGCCTATGTTTCATATCTGCGATATGTTCTTTTACGCGAGTCCCTATGTTCCTCTTTGTTTGACCGATGTAGGAGAGCCCACAGTCGCATTCAAGTTTGTAGACACCAGCAACTTGAAAGGGTATATTGCACTTGACTGGTCGTAGAAACTGGTTGATCTTCTTTGGCGGCTTGAAGTATGTATTGATTGAAGCACGCTTCAGAATCCTCCCAATCTTGTCAGTGACTCCTTTCATGTAAGGTAGTATAGCAGGTTGTCGGTCGACTGTGCTAGGTTTGGCGCGACTGTGACGGCGACGTGGTACATTCAGGTTATTATCCTTCAGTACTTGCTCGACATGCTGAAGTTCAGCTGCCAGGTGTTGTTCGTCACAGACACCCCGTGCTCTCTGAAACAAAGAGTTTCCTACGGCAGTTAATTGTTTCGGGTGATGGTGTGAGTCACCATTGAGGTACCTATCAGTATGAGTCACTTTACGATACACAGTATGGCTTAAACTTTGGTCAGGATTCCTAATTAATAAAATATCTAGAAAAGCTAGTTTGCTATCTGCCTCTAACTCCATAGTGAATAGGATGTTGGGGTGTATAGAGTTAAGGTGATTTAAAAAGGCAGAAATTTGATCTGTTGGGAGGATTGTGAAAGTATCATCTACGTACCGCTTATATAGCCTGGGTGTGACAGGTGCTACGCTGAGAGCCCTCTTCTCGAAGTCTTCCATGAAAATGTCGGCGACAACAGGTGAGACAGGGGAACCCATTGCCACACCCTCCATTTGTACATAGAAGTCATCCCCCCATAACAGGTAGCCAGATGTAAGGCAATGCTCCAGTAATACTGCATATTCTATAGGCATATTATTTTCAAGTAGCTTCTTCTTAGTGATTTCAATGCAGTCCTGTACTGGTAGGCATGTAAATAAGGACTGAACATCAAAACTGACCATGATTTCATTGTCCATGAGACGTTGATCTCTAATCTCATTGACAAATTGGTATGAATCTTTCACAAAGGCTGTTGTGTTACCTCTCAGTGGTGAAAGTAACTTTGCTACGTGTTTAGCCAAACGGCCAAACGTCAATAAATAAATAAAGTTTCGTGCATTATCCCGTTTAAACTAGTTTTAGCCAGCTAAGAATGTTTAGTTCAATATCTTTGGTCCTTTAAGAGTATTGATTATGAAATTTTGTAAAGCCAGGGCACTATTTGCGAACTATTTTTGTGTGTCAATTTTGTTGCTTAAATATATGCCGTTCTTGGGGTCGGCCATGGGTACGCTAGCTTGACGTCATGGTAGCGTACACAGTAAAAATGGTCTTTATTTCTTTAATTAAAGAGGCACTATTTTTTTTATTTTTACACTAAATTGGCACTATTTACGCAGTATTTAATGGCATAACGAAAAACCGTATATTGATCATGGGTACGCTAGCATCACGGACACTTATGACTGTACACGTAACTCTAGCGCTGAACGAAACGCATGAAGGATAGCTGCGCATGGGTACAACTGAAGAGCCAATCGGCGCATCGCACGCCCACCCGCGCACCTCGTTTCCCCCCAACACATCTTAATTTTTACTTCTGCGTGTTAACGGTCAGCGCTAGAGTTTCGAGGTGCGACTTATTTCACAATGTTTCTAAGTCTACGTCAGTTTTTCTAACTGTCAAACATCAAATCGAGACAAATGGTACGTTAATTTTATTATTTGAATTTATTATATATAATTATTTTTAATAATAAATCCATTTGAACAAGAAAGCGAGAGAGATATTTTCGCATCTCACGCATCGGT